TACACATATTGTAAATATTTCCTCCTAGTTTGTACTTTGCATTTTAACTTCCTTTTGTCACGTAAGTTCTTAGTGTTTATTCGCACCTATTTATCAATCTATTCCGTCCTGACTTTTGCTTTTGGTGTGTTGTTAAATACACCTGCCGTACTCCAAGATCATACGTATATATTCTATCACTTCTTTTAATACTTTCCTGGTTTTGATTTTATTTCTGTCTCTAATACATATAAGACTTATTTTTGAAAATGTGCTGGTCAGTTAGCTCAGTTGGTTAGAATGTGGTGTTATAACACCAAGGTCAAGGGTTTGGGTCCCAGTAGTGGCCATCCACCAAAGGAAAAAAAAAAGAAAAGAAAAGAAAATGCACTAAGGTAGAGATTTATGATGGAATAGCCAATTGTCCCAATATCAAAAATAAATCTTTTCTTCACGAATTTGACATTCTTCCTTTATCACATCATGTACCCGATTCCCATACACACACAGGTCTATTTCTAACATTTCTATTATGTTCACTTATCTCTTTACTTGTTCCTTATCTCCATGTAGACGACTGTCTTCTCCCTCTGTCTCTTCACATCAGCTGTCCATCTGCACTCGTCTGTCTCTGTGTCCAAATGTCCCCCTTTTATAAGGATGCCAGTCATATTGCATTAGGGCCCACCCTAGTGGCCTCGTTTTAACTTGATTACTCTGTTTAACTTGATTACCCTATTTCCAAATAAGATTACATTCTGAGGTATTGGGGATTAGGACTTCAACATATCTTTTGGGGGGACATGATTCAACACACAGCAATTCTCTATTACTTTTTACAACCCTATTCCTCTTGAATTCATTTTACTTTGTGCTGGAATAGCTTCTCTACTTATTCTTTAAAAGGAGCATCTGTGAATAGTAACTTTCTGAGTTATGTTCATCTGAAAGTCTTTTTTTTTNGGCGTTTCCCCGCCCGCGCGGCCAGCGCGGCCCGGGCTCGCCGCACTTCCGGCCTCTCTGTCTCCCGGGCCCGCCCTCGCCACTCCCCAGGAGGGTAGAGCATAGAGAAGGGCGGCCCCTGCGCAACTCTCTATGGTCCTGGAGGACCGCGGAGGGTTGGGGTGGAGAGAGGCGTCGGTCTACCGGCCCGAGAGCCTCTGGTCCCCGAGCGGTTCAATCCCAGTGCCCTTATTGACCGCCTCTTGTGTGCCTGGGCTGCGGGCAGGGCTCATTGGAGAAGAGATGGTAGGAGATCAAACTTGGTCCCTCCTGTCAGCACGGAGAGACTTGGGTTTGAATTCTAACTCTGCCATTGACTTGTCCTCAGTTTCCCCTTTCATTTATTTATTCCACACATATTTCCCAAGCACCTCCTCTGTTCCCGGCTCTGTGAGGGGAGGCGCTAGTGACACAGCAGGGGCCAATGACAACCCGGCGCTGCCCTCCAGGGCTTACAGTCCAATGAGAGAGAGACATTCCCAAACAGCCAGGACCCAGAGTGCGCAGGGCTGGGATGGGAGAGGGCGGTGGGATGGCGCCTGACCAGACGCAGGAGTCGGGAAGGGCTTCCTGGAGGAGCGCACAACGGAGCAGAGACCTGGTTGATGAGTTGCTATTAGTCATTTCCTGAAAGGACAGTATCACAGTGTTCTAACTCTCAACTCTCTGATTACTGAGGAAATAGAACATCTTTTTATGAGTTCATTGGTCTTATATATTTTGCCTTCTGTGAATTGCTTGCTCATATCCTTTGCCCATTCTTTAAATGGGTTGTATGCCTTTTTTTATTACTACTAATTTGTAGGAGTACTTTATGGATTCCGATTCTAATTCTTAGTCAGTTACACATATTGTAAATATTTCCTCCTAGTTTGTACTTTGCATTTTAACTTCCTTTTGTCACATAAGTTCTTAGTGTTTATTCGCACCTATTTATCAATCTATTCCGTCCTGACTTTTGCTTTCGGTGTGTTGTTAAATACACCTGCCATACTCCAAGATCATACGTATATATTCTATCACTTCTTTTAATACTTTCCTGGTTTTGATTT